CTCGGTGCCGCGCTCGCACCCGCGGCACGTGGTCGTGCCCGGCCGCCAGGCGTCGCCGGCCGCCGCGGGCCGCAGCGGGAACGGGCGCCACATAACATACCAGGCCGCGACGGGCCGGCCGATGGAGATCCCCAGCTCTGTCATCAGCGCCGCCGTCGCCGCCGCCGCGGCGGCGATCGCAGCTGCGGGGCCTGCGGCCGACCCCGCGCCGGCGGGGGCGCCGCAGCCGCCCAGCACATCCGTTGTGCCCGCCGCCGCGCCTGAGCAGGCCGGAGTCCTGGCCAGGCGTGGCACCGCGCCAGTAACGCCCGTGGCCCCGTTGACGGGCGCTGCCGAGCCCGACACGCAGCAGCCGGGCGCCCTCGACGGCCCCCCTGTGGCGGCGACGCCGGAGCCGCTGCCCCTTCAGGCGGCCGCCTGACAGGTCCCGCATGTCCGCCTGCGGCGCGACCCTTGCGTCGGCGGCGCTCGATTTGCGGCAGGCTCTCAGCGTGGCGTTGAGCCCCGCTCCCAATCCGCGCCACCAACCTCACCCAGAGCGGCCCCTCTGTTTCCCTGTTTTCTTTCACTTCTCGCGCCTCAACAGGGTGGATTTCGGCCATCACACAAACAAAAACTCACACGGAGAGCACACTCAGCACCCATCCAGCACCCATCCAGCACCCACGCGTGCATCGGCCCCCCGTGGCGCATTTCATCCAAGTGGCACGTGGTCAACCGTTGGTCAACGACTGGAATGGGCATTTCCTTACCGGCATCTCCTTCCAAGCAATTTCTCACTGCTAGCAGTCACGCAGAGACACAGGATAGATGGCCCACGTTTTTAAGGGGAGGGAGCAGGCGGACGCGCTGGCCCGGGATTGCTGGCTGCCTGTCATACCCGTCATGCAGGGTGACGCACGCCTGCCAGTGGGTCTTCTCTTTTCCGCGGCCTGCTGTGGTGGGGGCTTTTCTCTCGCCCACAAAGGCGTCTTGCGCGTGTACCTGGGCACAAAGCACCAACGCCCAAACTGCAGCCAAGCACGGGCTCCCATGCGTGAGGCCGCCACCGTCCAGCCGCATTACTCGACAGACAGCCAACAGCTTTCGATTCTCCATTTCCGACTGGTTCCCCCCCCCCCCAAAAAACACAGCCCGAGCGCTGGGCGGTCCGCAACGCCGCATGTTGCGTTGTGGCCGCCGCTGGTGGCCGCGTCCACCATCGACCGCCCGGGCGCGCCAAGCAATTCGCAAACCTGCATCCGGCCCCCAGGCTTCGCTCGCGCCGCGCCCAACCCTTGCAGAGCAAGCGGGGCTATTTGTTGCAGGGCTGGCCCTGAATCCAATGCACTTGAGCCGTGATTTTGAAACCCAATCGTCCCCGCCAGCGCCACGACGCGTGCACCCTGGCTGCGCTCGCTCCCGCAGCTGCCCGCCAGCTGCCATCTCAGCCACACCCCTGGCTCGTGCGCGCGGCGCTGCCATCTGGCATTCACCCAACGAGTAATGACCGAGGCAAACAAGGGCGGTTTGTCAGTTGAAGAGGTGTTCGTCAATCTTGATCCAAAGTTGGCAACTCGCCGGTTGGCAGCTACTGGTATCACATCCTATTCGCCTAGTGCTGTAGATGGGTGGCAATCAGGTCAGCGGTCCATCACGGCGTTCACCCTTGCAACAGAGATGGCACCACTTCGTTTTGTTGGAGAATACTGTAGTGGCATGACGGGTACATACGAAGTTACTGTATGGCTCTCCTGGTGCATTGTAATGTGACTCACCTGCACCTGAGTAATTAGCGTGCATGACAAACGTTGCGCGTACGCAGAAGACAGTGCGACATGAAGCCCCGCGACCTTGGCATACCTTGATGATCGAAATGGCGCACCTGAAGGGTCAGCGCTCCGGTCTGTCGACACTGTGGAGATCATAGGTTCCGGCAGCGCACGCCATTCAGCCTCAACTATCAATGATAATATAATTTTGGTATGGAAACAGTCGCCGAGGATGGTACTGGCAGTCGGGCCGCGGCAGCGGGCGCTGCCCCGCCATCTCAAGGCAGCGCCGTCGCGGAAGTCCGCCCCAGCGGGACGGCCGGCGGCAGCTGGCCCGCGGGCGGCGGGGGCGCCCTACGTGGGGCGGATGAGCTCACGCGCGCAGGTGGGCAGCCGGTCGCCGAGCGGCGCCTGGCGCGCACACATGCGTGGCTGGCTGTAGGCGACGCATCGAACCTGCCGCGCTTCAGATTCGACTTTGTAGTGTTTGAAGCTGCGCCTGGGGCCCCCGCTGGAAGATGTGCAGCGGCAACCTGACGACCACTCCCCATGCCCGCCTGTGATGGCCCCCCCTCTGTGAGCGTGCTCTTTTACCTTTTACAGCACATGTGCCTTGCACTCTCCGCAAAGTTGCCGCGAGCGTCACCCCTGCCACGCAGGCCCGTCCGCACCCCCACCCCCCACCCCCCACCCCTGTTCCCGTCTTTCCTGCAGGTCGGGGCCGCCCGAGGCGGGGCGCGTCAGCTCACTACCAGAGAGATCCGGAGGTGAGCGCCGCGCACCACTCCAAACCTGAAAACGCCCTTGCCTCCGCCTCGTGACATTCGCTCGAACGCAACGAATTCGGCCAGCCGCCAGGGGGCTCTCCCGCAGCAGCTGGCGGGCGCGGCGGATCCCACGCCGGCCCCGCGGCCCGCCGCCGGCGCTCGAGCCCGCTGTCTCAGGGATGCCCCTTCCTTGCCGTCCGTCTGCAACCCACAGATACACCGGCGCTACTACGCCCGAAAGAAGGCGTCGGTGAGCGCCGCCCCATCTCCCATGCCCCCCAACCCCCCAACGGCCGAGGCGCTTGCTGCAGGGGGGGCAGGTGGCCCAAGAGGGTGAAGGGTAAGGGACACCTGCCCCGCACGTGCATCACATCAACACGCGCGTGCATCACACGCTTGTTCGCACACAGGCACTCTCACTCACTCACCTGCACACACACGCACGCACACACTTGTCCGTGCACGCACGAACACACGCACGCACGCACGCGCTCCTGCACGCACACGCGCACGCGTATGCACGTGCCCGCATACACACCCACACGCAATAGCTGGCCGCGCTGACCGCGGAGGCCGCTGCAAAGCAAGGGGAGTTGACAGACCTTGCGGCGCAGAACGCTGCACTGCTGCTCCACGAGAAGGTGCGTGCTGCTTTACCGAACGCTCCTGCAAATCCATCCACCTGTGCATATTTGTGTGGTTTTGTGCATGTGAATGTTGGCGTGCGCGTGTGCTTGTGTGTGTGTGCATGTGTGTGTGCATATGTGTGTGTGCGTGTGTGTGTGTGTGTGTGCGTGCGTGTGTGTGTGTGCATGTGTGTGTGTGTGTGTGTGTGTGTGTGTGTGTGTGTGTGTGTG